ATGAATGCTTTTTGTTGTTAAATGAATAAAGTACTTTATAACAATAGATGATTTTTATTCTACAGCGATCTTTTACATAACTTTTTAATAATAGTTAATAAATATATATTATATCACTCATTATAAAAAAATTAGAAAATCATTTTAAATAAAGAAAGTGCTATATATAAAATGTGCCTACATATTGAGGGTTTGTAGCTCTGGTTAAACGACCAAAAGGTCATTGTCCGTTTTTCTCAATCGTTTTGGCACGTACTATAGTAAACTTCATCGGGCGACCGTAACGATAAATCCAACCTTCATATAAATGTTTGACAACAGTTGCTGCCGTTGCCGTTATGTTGTCAAATATGATTCGGGCTACCTAGTCCTCCTATCAATTATCGTGAGTAAGTATCTATTGTGACGGTCGGGGTTTAAAATAAGGCAACAACCTGTCATAAAAAAAATTATATATTGGTAAAAGAAAAGGTCGTGGGCGTGGTTCCGATAATTAAAAAAAAATGCCCGTCTGGCTTCACTGGCAGGGTCAGGTACTCCCCTATGTGGCCGCGAGGTGGTCGAGCAGGGCCGGGGGGTTGGACTGTTCACGGGGAGCGCCATGGGCAGCTGGCTGTGGCGGTGGCGGCGTCGAGGGGAGGCCAAGGCCCTCTTAAAAAAGGGGCGACCGCCACGGTTGTAGTCGTAAAATTGCACCCCTTACGGGGTGCAAGACGATACGGAGGTCTCGGTAACGAGAATTAACGAAAAAACTATACGGCCACAGTGCCGGAATTATTATATTATTTTAAACTTTTTCCAAAATGGATTAAAATTTGCAAGCGCGTACGAGGACACAAAGCAGAGCTTGTGAACGCGGCTGCAGTGGTAGTGTGCGCCTCCCAGGGCGCTCGAGCGGAGAAAGGTCGGGAGCGCGACGCCGTGGAATAATACCGGCCGGGTAAAACTCTGACGCGAGAGTTGCAAGGCGCATAGAGTAACGAAGCGTCAGAGTGTTTGTTCGAAATACAATATTTTAATATTTGATTTATTATTTAATTCGTTCTTTTAGTTTACTGATTTGTTTTATTAATAGGATACCTAAGTTAATTATAGAATTATTTTTGTTAATAACTTTTAATTTATTTTTATTTAGTTTATTAAATGTTTATTTAATTTTAATAAACCGTTTAATTATAATTATGCATACATGTACGTGCAACGTTACAGTACCCCGCGCGCTACATAAGGATTTTATTACTCTTAATTAATAAAATCCGCTCTAAATTGTTATGTATTCGCATTATCCTTTTATACAACATCTCTCATACTTCACGCGATTATATCAGCGTCGACGAACATCAATAGGGTAGTTGACGCATCCTGTCATTTGGCAAGGTGTTCCAGCATCGGCTAGACTAGAAGACCCATACGAATACCTAGAGCTAAAGACGTAAAAGTGTGACCAGGGTAAAACGAGCACCATGTATATATATAAATATAACGCTAGTGTATTCCTAAGTAACAAGCAGAACACATGCAACTTAATTAAGTGTACTTGTAGGTGTAACATGGAGATCTTGTGATGTTGCAGTGATGGTTGCTAGCCCATCTCCCACAAAACACTACTACCCTATCCGTTAGTCGACTTTTACGACACCCACAGGAAGAAATAGGGTGGTGCTATTCTAACCCGACACCACACGGGGAAGTGCCACTTTAAAAAAAGTGTATACATATATGACTAAGTATTGTGTCCTGTTAATTTCAAATCCTTGATGTGCCAGGTGCCAATATCTTTCCCAGACATGTCAGCCAGGATGTAAACTAGGGGTGACTTTTTACCGATGACGCGACATTTAATAAATTTTGGCGCAAGTTTTTTACTAAAGAACTTATCCTTATCACTTAAAACATATGCGCGTTTCATTACAGTGTCACCAATGTTAAATTCCATAGGCTTGCGCCGAAGGTTATAGTGGGTTGAGTTTTTAGCATGAGCATGCCACAATTTGGCCTTTACAGTATCGAAAACTTCCTTAAGACAACCCAAATCCTCCGCGTAGATGTCACGGGGAAGGAATAAAACCTCATCGCCTAAATCGTTATCTAAATAATGCGAGCCACATGTAACGAGCTCCCTGCCGAACACCAGGAAGGATGGAGTGAAACCAGTCGCCTCACTCACCGAATTGTTGAGGGCGAACTGAACCTTCAGAATATATGTATCCCAACTGCGATGATCGTTGTCCACGAAAGTTGAGATACACGTGATAATTGAACGATTATGTCGTTCTACCAAATTAATTTGAGGGGTGTACTTTGGCGTGAAGAACACGTTAGGGACCTTATAACGATGGAAAAGTGACTCAGTGACCTTCGAAATAAACTGGCCGCCATTGTCCAAAAATATGGTCTGAGGGACACCATGGACGAGGAAAACAGACTCTTCCAGTAACTTCGTGACTGTAGTGGCAGTAGCACTTCTTAATGGGAAAATTAGGCAATATAAACCGTTTAATTATAATTATGCATACATGTACGTGCAACGTTACACTATAACCTAATATAATCTGATGAGATCTCAAGAGGGTCAAAAATATCGATATACAGTGCTTAAAACGATCTACTTCCGGAAACTTCAAATTCAATACCGCATGTCTTTTAACTTTAGAACGTTGACATTGTTTGCATGTTTTACCCATAAGGAGAAATCACGATTCATACTCGGCCAGAAATACTTTTTAGCTAACGATTTTTTTGAATAACTAAAGAATTTTTGAATGGCTTAAATTATGCAAACTATCGAAAGCTAGACGTTGACACTTTTCCGGTAGGTATGGACGAGCTGTATCAGTAGACATCTCACAAAAATAGACTTGTCTAACATAGGTATAACCAGTTCCTTCAACAAAATTTTATCGCAATTTAAATCATACATTACATTCGTGATATAACTGTTGCTATGCTGTTCGTTTGCAATGTCATCGAAATTCATCGCAGTTGGCATAATCACGGCTTCGACGCGTGATAGGGTGTCGGCTACGATGTTATTCTTACCGGTTATATTTTTTATATTTGTAGTAAACTCACTTATGAAAGCTAAATATCTCATTCTACGAGGCGTTTCGATTTCATCTCGTCTTAACTTTTGAAATGCAAAAGTTAAAGGTTTATGGTTCGTATACATGGCTATTTCTTGACCTTCAAATAATTTCCGAAAATGATTTATAGCTAAGTATATAGTGAGCCACACGCGATTGTAGGTGCTATATTGCTGTTAGGTGTAGGTAATTTTTTCAAGAAATAGCCCAATAATATCCAGTTATCTCCTTTTGCTGCGAGATTGCTCCCACGCTTATACAAATGCGTCAGTCATTAAATCAAGTGCAGAATCTATTCCAGGGTACGTCAATGTAGGGGCCTATGTGAGACCTGCCTCACACTGCGTAAATGCTTCGTTTACACTATCTTGAGTGAGTTGTGTCTTTATCTTTCTACGGCATGATGCCGTCGGTACTAATTTCGAGTCCCAAAAATGCTAGTTTAGTTTATCCGAAACGACATTTTGCCAAATTAATTGAAATTCCATATTCATTAAACTTTTTGAAAATAATTTCTAAATGTTATCTGTGTTGAACTCTGTTGTAACTAGCGATAAGTAAATCGTGTAAATAACAAAAGGCACAATGAATACCTTGTTAAATGAAATTTATATACCGCTGCAAGGTTTGCGCTGCACCACCTAAACCAAACGTCATTCGGAGAAACTAGAAAAGCCCGAATGTTGTTATTATAGCGGTTTTCTCCACATGACCTAGCGCGACAAGTATAAAATGATAACTTATATTGATGTCTAATTTTAAAAATATCTTTTTATCCGGAAGAATAAAAGTAAAACCGTTCAAGCGAAGAAATTACAAAGAGTGGACTAGCCCACGCGCTCTTCAAAGAGGTATCAAAACTAGGAGAAATTATTGTTTTTTACAAAATTTCAAATAATTAATCACACTTACCACTACTTCACATTACGCCCAGGTTTGACTGTTGGAGAATACCAATAGGCATTAATTGTCCTCCCTTTGTTCTCTTTTATTTGATAAGGTTACGATAAAGAATAAGTTAATGAAGGTTGTGTTGACTATTACTTTCGCTCTACAGCGTATTTCTTTATAATGAATGTTTTCTACAAAATATCACAAGAATGTGATAGAAAGTTTTCAGAAAGACAACTACAAAATTAAAGTAGATCTACTGATAACCGGGGGAAAGCAGAGCCTGAAGTGCTGCAAACTACGAGTACTTAGAACCACGTCTAAATAAGAAATATAACTTAGATGGAAACTTGTGAAAGCATCCAAACTCAAACATTTATTGCTATACCATAATGTACATAGATGTTATAAAACAGTGTGAGACCCTTGTTATGAACCCTGTTGTGCACGCAATTTAGGGGCTAGAAGACAAGAAGCGTATTTAACTACTTACGTGAATAAAATTGTGGTTTACTAAAATAATTTACTTAAAGTGAGTGATCATTTCTCATAACCTATATATGTATTGTTTACGAATATTCATTAGTATTATAGTAACATATGTAACAAAAGATATATGCTGATCTACTTTAAGTTTGTAGAACAGTCGAATAATTTTGGAGATAGTGTGTACATTTCCCCTTTCCACTCCATATTGTACGAGTAAGTAGTAATAACTGAATAGATTTTGTTAAATTGCTCTCTATTTATATGAACTTTGAGCTTTTGGTGTTTGTACATCTGATCACTTCAATGTTTCTCTAGTTAATCCGGCAACACCAAAAGAAATCCATATTTGTCCAAGTTTTGATAGATAAAAGGGCTGTCTCGTCGTTTAAAGAGACATGACAAAGGTTAATTATATTCAGTCGTCTTCTGTAGTAGACTTTGTTTTACTGTGTGGATGCGGTCTATGATGCCGTAGATTGCTTGTAATCCAGTAAGTGATTTTACATGATAAATTAAAATATTGTTTTATATTTACAGATAAAGAGTTTGATGTCAATGATATGTCTAGAATGGGCATGGATCTGCAACTTCACGGTTCTGTTTATTTTCAACCCACTAGTATCTGCCATAGGCCTTGGTCCAGTCTTCTACATCTTCGCTGGAATCTGTTTTGGTGGAGCCGTGTTCTGTTTCTTTTTTCTGCCTGAGACTAAGGGATTAAGTGTTGACTTAATAGAGACGCTATTTGCTAAAAATGTTTATGATAGCAGCTCAACAGAAAAGGTTAACTAATTTTAATTTTTGATGAAGTTCTTAATGTTACTGTTTGTAACTTTCAAGCTTGTAATATTGCTTTAATCCACTAAAAAGGCCAAAACCCGTAATATAAAAGTAAAAACAGTAATATTTTGATTTCTTATTAACTTCTTAAGTTGGAGCTTTAATTTTACAAAGCACTGAATTAGCACCAACTTCAAAAATCATTACATGGATTTTTTTAGTTCTTCGAAGTCTGTTCATATTCAGAAATTATACGTTTGTAATTTCTTATCATTATGTACTCATATAATTTAATTACTAGTACCTATATATCTACTAAGTATTATATATATATATATATATATATATATATATATATATATATATATATATATATATATATATATATATATATATATATATATCATAAAGATTGTACATATACATAAACTATTATAAAATCCATAAAATAATTAAGAAATATTATGGTGTCTTGTTCGGTTCCATTATTGATAGTTTTACTCGTAGACGTTAAATAACAAAATATAAATATTTTCACGACATTCACAAAAGTTTTAATAAAAATTGTAGTTATTACCATGCGAAAAATATAGGAGAGTAATGTGGTATAAATTATTGTAGTTGACACTTGTAGAGTGAAAATGTTGGTAACAAAATTTTTATTAGATAATTAAGTTTAATATTATATCCGGCTTACATTATTTTAGTGTTTAGTAGATGGTTTTTAAAAGTACATTAATAGAAACGTGTAAACGTTGTTTTGAGTAAAACTGTTCTAGAATAGTAAATTGTTTTTCAAGTGTCATTAAAGAAATCGCATTCGAATACTTTTCATGTACGAGTACTCTCCTCGAGCATAAGATAATGTAAACAGGCTGTTACTTGACATTGATTATTTTTGTGGGTATTTAGTTAAAACAGATTAAGGTTGTATTTTTGTTTACAAAACCATGAACGCTCACACTTGTCACCCATGGGGTATTGTACGGACTTCCAATTGACACGATCTTGACGCAACTCTCTTGCCTGCTACAGATCCATATCGCACTGCTAGATTAAAACTGTATCAACTCAAAAATCGCGCCTTTTGAGATAACCCAATTTTCAAGTCCCTGATTCGATTATCTATACGGCTATAAAACTGTAGTAACTATATTTTCACTCACGCCTCGTAGATGTCGCTGGCATTGGCAGTTGCGCCGTGACTAGTAAGCAAAGAGCACGTTTCTAAAGTGTAATATTTTGAGTTAATACAGTTTTTTTATGATTAGATTTGAAAAAAAAATCAAGTATTAATTAGAGTTGTTGCAGTTTTAATGGTGTTATCGGGAGTTGACGGAAGAGCTTTTTTGAGTTATGATAGTTTTGATAGCCAAGGTTAGTAATATTTTTGAATTAATTTGTTTTACTACAGTTTTAACGCCTTTTAAGCTATTGCATAGCTTCTATCGCGGGCCTTGAGCGCGGGGACCGAATCCAGAAATTCCGTAACGAAAAAAAAACCTCACGCTCCCCACTCCGACGGGCACGGAGGTGTGGCGTTGAAAGCCGTGCATCGTCTAACGTCGTTTCAGTTCGGCAGACTTCGGCACTCGGCAGACTTCGGCACGGTGTTTGTGTGCGTGCGACTAGACGTATGCGTGTACACTAGCTGCTAACTCAATGATAAAAATTCTTGAATAACCTACATGTATTGTAAGATATTAAAAATATTTTAAACAATATTAACTACTCATTTATTCAATAAGAGAAAAAAAATTGTTTTCTTATCGGTCACCACGCTCAAAAAGTGTAACTTGATTTAATATCAAAGACTTAACTGCATAAATAAAATAAATAAATAATTATAATTGCATAAGTTGATAAAAAATGCTATGCAATAGCTTTACCGCAGCAGTCACCGAGTGCCACACGTATTTTTTTTAATTTCGATTAGTATCGGTTTTAATGGTGGATTATTAAAACACTATTATACACTTAATTTCTTGATATAAATACTTGCTATTACTATAAATACTTACTATTAACACATGATGCAAATTAATAATTTTATATTTATTGTTAATTATTTTACAAAAATTATAAGTTATGCCGTTAGTAGAACGTTTTTTTAGTTAATTCATTTTTAATTTTTATTTCAATAAGATAATGAGCCGATTACGTTTATTTGTGGATATGGCAGTACGTAGCAACAAGGAAAACCTACCTGCTAACATAGAATCTCATAATGATCAAATCAAACAAAATAGTCCACCAAATGAAACGGTTAAAGAAAATTTACTCAATTCTATATCAGGCAGTTCAGATACTACAGTTCAGTCTTCTATGCCTGAAGAGATAACTTCTTCAATCTCTAATAAAATCAGCAATCCCATCGATTTGGCCATCCCAAGAACTTCCGAATCTGCTGAAATTAAACAAAAAGAAATAAATTATTACATTTCGCCCATAGAAGAAAGAAGAAGAAATTATATTTATTTTCTCATCACAAACAGGTACAGTATTATTGATGACAAACACGTTAAACTATAAACGTAATGAACCCTGGTTTGTGAGAGACTGGTGCCTAACAAAGGTATTAAACAATACCTGTTCTATAGGTCACCCGGTCCCTCCTCACGGATTGTATATCTTAAATTACACGTTTTTATAGCATATTGAAGACATCATTATTTTCATTTTATTGGTTATGAGAAAATCGACATTTCGTAAAATGAAGGATAATATAACAAAGCCAATCATTTAAATTATACAGATACATATTTTAGATTAAAGTACATAATATTGTTATAATTATATATACAATGTGCGTGATATTAAAGTTGAGGATGTAAGAAACTTTCAGTGGATTCGTATGTTAAAGTTTTAGCCAGTTTATTGTATCTTTTCTACACTCGTGTTCAGGAAGAGGATATATAGATAGCAGCCTATTTATTGTGTTGTATAAGTAATTACTAAGATAGGTATAGTGTATCTTGGCTAAGCTGGATTTAACCGTCGTTGAAGGACATTCTTTGTCCTTTCTTCTTTTTGTGGTGCTAAGATTCGGATCGTAATCCACTTGGGAATGCTTTCTGGTTATTATTTTTAGAATAAATATTTGCCTAACGGTGAGGACATCCCATAACCTGTACAGCTCCAACGTAGCATGTCTATAAGGCAGTTTAGCTGCAGTTTTGAGGATTGCTCGTTGAGCTTTCTCAGCTTCTATAAGGTGAGTTTTGGCTGCACCACCCCATATTGTGATGCAATAGCTGATTATTGATTGACTAAGAGCGTAATAAATAGATTTTATAATAGAACGATCAGCTATGTATCGGAGAGATTTAAAAATATAAATAAGTTTTCTCAGTCTAGATACCAGGGAATCGATGTGCGATTTGAAAGTGAGAGTAGAATCAACAATGACTCCTAGGTATTTAATAGATTCAACTCTTTCCAGCGTGGGACACAAGCAAGAGGTGTAATTTAGAGAGCCGCAATAGTGAGCAAAGATAGAGCCAGAAGTAGGTAGACTCATCTTGTTTAGGGCAAAGGTCATATATTTTGTTTTTGTGACATTAAGAGTAAGTATGTTATCCACCAACCATTTGTTAACACTGTTAAATTGTTTTTGCGCAAGTTCAAAGACTTCCTACCATGAGTCTCCATAAAAAACAAGAGCTGTATCATCGGCAAAGGTAACTATTTTGCCTCGAGGTAGCTGGATCTCGCACAGGTCATTAATATAGATGAGAAACAGCGTTGGACCTAAAATGCTTCCCTGCGGCACACCATAGGTTACAGGAAGCTCATTGCTGAAAAAACTACCAAGCTTAACTCTCTACAGTTGGTTAGATAACTCGCAAATAGATTCAATGCTACGTCTCGTACACCTACTCCTTCGAGTTTGTTTAACAAACAAGGAACAGGAACTGCGTCGAAGGCCTTAGCTAAATCAAGAAAAACTGCTATATTCTTTTTTTCATTATCAAGACTAGAGATTAATGTATTTGTTAACTCAAGACTGGCATCCTCAGTTGACCTTCCGGCTCGGAATCCAAATTGATTATTTGAGATTAATTTCATTGAGCTTAGAAAGTTAATAAGTCTCTTGTTTAGGATTTTCTCCAGGATCTTAGATAAAGTAGGTAGAATTGATATAGATCTATAGTTATTAACGCAGTCACTGTCACCTACCTTGTGAATTGGTTTGATAATCGAGATCTTTAGAAGTCTATGGAATGTACCGGTTTCGAGGGCAGCATTACAAATGTGGGTTATTGGTGGTGTCAACAAATCACTATATTGCTTGAATAGCCAACCGGAAATTAAGTCAATACCTGCAGCACAATCGCTCTTCAGTCCTATTATTATTTTGCCAACCTCATCTTCATCTGTAGGTAGCAAACAAAGTGAATTGCTCGTATACGGTTTGGTGAGGAGTGGTTTCGGAGAGCCAAATTTAATTTTAAGGTCCTCAGCTAATTTATTCCCAACTCCAACAAAAAACTCGTTACTCGAGTTGGCAGTAGCAGTTGGATGTTTTTAGCAGAGTGGATTGGGTAACATGTCATCTTTTTTCTTGGTGTATGTCACATTTCTTATTACATCCCAGAGTTTCTTTTTGTTTGTTCCTGCCTGTTGTATAAGGGACTTTTCATAACTTCGTTTTGCTTTTATAATAAGTGCATTACGGAAATTTCTGTAGTTTCTGTAAGTTTTTATGAGGGTATTGTTATTCAGGCCTTTTTTGACTTTTTTTGTGTAGGTTGTCACGGTTTCTCATACAACGCATAACACCTGAGGTGATCCAGAATTTCATAGTCATTTTTCGCCTCGCAACTTTAGCTATAATGGAGTTATTCAAAATACATTTGTTGATAGCTTGGATGAAGAACTCTGTGGCCTTATCAACGTTATCCATTTGATATACCGAAGAAAAGTCCACATTTAGTAAGTCGTTTTGTAGTCCCACCCGATCTATTTAGTTTTAGTGTGATTCGGTAATTTTATTTTAGATCTGACTTCAA